AATAATAAACAAAAAGTTTTCCTGGTTTGGAGATTCTCAGGGGGTCTTTATCCATTTTGTCCTGGCTTTGAGCCAAACATCCTTTTGGGTAGGTCTTCTTTAGCCCAAGACCCCGCAATATCAGTGTCGTGAATTGTTTCTGAAAAACAGGTTGCATAGTCAAAGCACTTTGAGAAATGTATCATAGTCATTCTTAATTCATGGTCTGCCATGACACATTAAAAAGCCCTATTTGCCTTTATTTAGTCCAGAATATGTTGAAATTATTTGACTGTGGAAACTCAAACTTTTTTGACCAGGGAATCTTTTGTTTAACAGAAGAACTAATTATTAATAATAACCCAAAGAACTAGTGTCCCCCTTCCCCCCGCTTTGCGAAATGCTGACTGACTATTCTGGGTCTTACAAGCCTCAGAGAGGCTTTGCTGTAACAACCACCTGACTTGGCCAGTCACAGGACTCTTGGCCATGTGATTGACATATTCCTCAAGGCCCCCAGATCTCTGAGTGGGTCAGAGGTGTGGCCCGTCAACCTCCAACAGGTGACAAGTGGCTTCTAGGTATTGACAGCAAATGGCTGTAACCAAAGATAGCTAGAATTAAAACAGTGTGCAGGGAATCCTGGAACAGTGATGGTCCTCCTTCATGCTTCTATACTCAGATCCTGCCGTCTTGTACATGGTCAGTTCTAGAAAAATAGCCTTTCAGAGGTAAATACAGCATAAAACCCTTTTTGGAAGCAGCATAGTGTAGTAGAAAGAATATAGGCTTTGAAATCAGAGAACCATTTGAATCAAACCTGTCATTCATTAGCTGCGTGACCCTCTACTAACTCCTTGAGCCTCAGTTTCCTCATCTGGAAAATGAGAATATGCCATCAAAAATAAAATAAATAAAAGGATGTTTTTAAAGTTGATGCTTTTGCAAAGAATAATATTATAAAATACAAATGTTTACCCAAAATCCCCATAGTTTCTGGAAACTCATATTCCCAGTAGATGGCAGCATTGTTTCATTTACTTTAAAAAGATGCAACAGTAAATTGGTCACTGACAATTCCAGTAATGAGACAGCAGGGTGTTTGTGGGTGAATGTTCCTTTTTCCTCCATATAGTTTTCCCTCCTCGAAGAAAATAGGCAAATGTTTGTATGTACGTCACCAGTGAGACCTTTTCCCTTGGCCCAGTAGTGATGAAAAAATTTTTAAAAAGGGGGAATACGTTTCCCCCGCAGACTAGGTTGTGTGTCCTGTGCAGGGACTATACACATTCTTCTTTGGTAGCCTGGTTTCCACGGGGGACTCTGCTTTCAGATTCCTCTTTCTGTTGACCTGTACGCATTGCAATCTGGCCAAACATTTTCCAAGATTCCCTTGGCTCTTAGGGCAGAATTGCTTTGTGTTGGTTTTAAAAGGTGGCTCCTCAGGATTTTAGCCCAACAGAAATTGATCTTTAATCAGTGTTCTGCAATGCCTTACAGAGGCAGTATGCAAATAATCCCCCAGCAATCCCGGGGCACACAGACTAAAGGGGAAGTCCGTGCTGCATTAACTCATAAGTCATAGTGCTCCCCACTGACCCCCCATGGATTTTCTATATGCTTCCGAAGGGCTGAGTCTAGAAACGCACAGGTTGAGGCCGGGCGCGGTGGCTCACATCTGTAATCCTAGCTCTCTGGGAGGCCGAGGCGGGCAGATTGTTTGAGCTCAGGAGTTCGAAACCAGCCTGAGCAAGAGCGAGACCCCGTCTCTACTAAAAATAGAAAGAAATTAATCGGACAACTAAAAATATATAGAAAAAATTAGCCGGGCATGGTGGCGCATGCCTGTAGTCCCAGCTATTCGGGAGGCTGAGGCAGGAGGATCGCTTGAGCCCAGGAGTGTGAGGTTGCTGTGAGCTAGGGGCAAAAAAGAGTGAGACTCTGTCTGAAAAAAACAAAAAAAAAAGAAACGCACAGGTTGAGAGACGGCTGGAGGTCGCGTCTGAAAAAACGTCAGCAGTTTTGGCCATGCGTCTCCGATGACCTCTGTTTGTGTGTTGTCGCAGCTGTGTTGTTGGCTTCGTCGGGGAGCGGTGTCAGCACCGAGACCTGAAGTGGGAGCTGCGCCACGCCGGCCTCGGACGGCAGTGGAACGTCACCGTGGCGGCTGTCTGTGTGGTGGCTCTCGTCCTGCTGCTCCTCCTGGGGCTCTGGGGGGCTCGTTACTACAGGTGACCTTTCCATGGTACTCGCAACCTCTTTCTAAGCCCTCCCGCGGGGACACCTGCCTCCTTGAGATGAATTCTACATACTTACGACATTTAAAAAGTGGGATAAAAGTTAAAAAAAAAAATGGCCCAGGATCTCACTGCCCTAAAACGTCAGTGTTTTTCCTTGTTCCATTGCAGTCTTTGTCCACACAGCTACATTAAGTGGTTGTGACTTTACAGACGCATTTTTTGCATTCCACTTTCTTCTTTTAGCATCACGTGTCTCCCGCCACGACAGCCTGCATAACTATGATTTTTCATGGCTGCCTTGCATTGAGTTGGTTTCTCATAAAATATTAGCTTTTTTTTTTTTTTTAAATCAGCATCTTCCTGGAAGGAAGTTTCTGTTCTTTGGATTTTGTGTTTTCAATAATGTCAGGTTTACAGTTGGAAGCTGTGGAACAATGACATTTATACGTTTAATTTTTTTAAAATAATACTACATTAGGGTGAAGGTATAGGCAACACAGTGTTTGCTCATTTTCCAGTTTCTTAAAAAGTAGGACAGCATCCTCCACTATCACCAATATTGAAAAATACTTTATGTGCTGTTCCCGTTTATGCCGTACAAAATCAGTGAGTCGTAGGATCTCGGGGCTGAAGAGGTCTTTGTGGAATTATCTAGTTCACTCTTATCATTTCATGGCTGAAGAATCTAAGACCCACTTCACTAGTCCCAATTCTCTGGGAATGTACGAAATACCTGCCACCGTCTGTAGATAAAAATGTAACCACGTTTACTGGTACTGCACAACCACTCAAGTGACAACCGTCTTGTATTCTGGAAAATTCAACATATCAGCCAAGATGCACTTGTCTGAGATCCTGCTATATCCCAGTGTAGTGGCTCAGAGCAGGGGTTCTGGAATTGGATGGCACAGGTTCAGGTCAGAGTTAGCGTCTAAATAACATCAGGCATGTATCCCAGCCTCAGCGTTCATTAATTTCCTTTCCTGTAAATAGAGACAAGAACAGTGCATACCTCAAGGGTTATTATGAGATTAATTGTGTTAATCTAAGTAGAGTTACCTATGTGTGTGGCTACGTTTGTGCCATAGATAGATCGATTCTGACAAGATCAAATTAAAATTGCCAGTCTATCGCCATGCCACTCAAGTATGCTGAAAAATATAGCTCTAGCATTGAGTTTTTAAGTCGGATGTGTTAAATACTTTTTCCTTAAAGAGTTAAAATCAGTTATTTCTTCCCTTTATACCATTCCTTGCCTGTCTTGTCTAGAGATTGAGTGTTTGACACCATTTGTCTTCAGTATCTCTCAAAAGATGAGTGTTTGTAAAACTAAATAAATTATAAAAGCATCCTAACATTATTACTTCATAAAACTTGAATTCCCGCGAGGACCCCGCCCCTCGTAAGAAAATCAGCGGGAAGTATTCCATCACAGACTGTAACTCTGTAGCTCTGCAACTTTGCAACTGTTTCTGTTAGCCACTTGCTTTGATTTCTTTCCTGGAAGCCTTTGATTAAAATCCGTGATAACCCACGCCACCTGTGTCGCGGCTTCTGCAGCTTCCCCGCAGCCCTTCCCTTCCTCATCGCTCTTCCCGGGACGTCCCGGGAGGGCGTCTGGCAGATGGTCGCACGCCTAGAGGCAGTTAAGCTGCCCGCGTGCCCCACGACGGCAGTGCCGCTTTGGACTCTTGAGGCTGGCTGGTGGTCCTGTCTGCCGCGTGGTCCTCATGCCTTCCCCGCTTTCCCTGCAGTGGCCGCTGTGCGGTGCGTGATGTGCCTGTCTCTCCCTCCAGAGACTTTGAGGACAGAGCTCCTACCTTAATGCTAAACCTGCAAACCCGCCTCCCTCCGGTGCGTGGCGCAGTGCCTTGCATGGAGTTAATGTTTGTCAAACAAAACAGAGTATTCTGTTTAAAAGGCAGGATTTGGAAGCAAGAGACCTAGTCTATTTCCTGGCTTAGTGGCCGTGAGACCGTATTATCTCAGGTCTTCCACTCCTTCTGTTTCTGCCTCTGCTTCCTTAGGGGGTGGGAGATCTCAGTGGGAAGTGGAGGGAGCCCCGGCTTTGCGTCATGGTGACCCTGTTCCCGCGCCGCCCTCAGTGGCTGTGCCTTGGGTACGTCACTGCCCGCTCCGAGCCCCACTGGCTGCGCTTGCAAGCAGAGCTAATGACGTCTGCCTGCCACAGTCGCTGGAATGTCACTTCCACAGACAGCCCCTCTGCTCCCCCCGAAATTGGTATGTCTAGTAAGGTAGGAAGTTTGTTGTTGTTTTCCTGTTGCTATGTCCCCAGTACCAGGATGGTGCCTGGGGTATAGTTAGTACTCAGTCGGTACTGTGAGTACAAGAAAGCAGGGCTCCCCCTCCCAACACACACACACACACACACACCTCACAGAACTTTGGAAAGGGTGAAACATCATCTGGAAAGTATTTTGAGTTCTGCAGAAAAGAATGCCTTAAACACCTCAAGGTATGGTCCTAGTGGTCTTCATATTTCTTCTCTCCTGCACATTTTAAGTACCTAAATTTCAGGAGCAAAAATAGTAGTCCCTGCCCATTGCTGAGTAGGCCAAGTGTTTTGATTTGTTTTGAGATTGTCTCACATTATGCTTTATCACAGGACTCAGAAGCTGCTCTTGAAAAATCCGAAGAACCCATATGATGAGCCCAGCAGAGATGTGAGTGGCAGCTGGCCTGCCACCAGCGCGGCTGGAATGTCTTCTTGCCCCCAACCTTGGGTAATACGACCAAGGCAGATGAAGCAAGAAATTGGCTTGTTATTAACTTCAGTTCATTTTTTCTCATTAGTACAGAGTTCAGAACAACTGGCATCTGTTATAGCTTCCAGCTGGTGTTGCTAGGGAGGTCCCGGGTGGGAGGGCAGGGGAATTGTGTCCTGAACTAAGGGAATCAGATGAGTTAAAATAACGCTGTAAAATAATGGTGCAAAGAATTTTGGAATTTTTTCTTTCATGTCAATTCTTTCTATAACTTAGATTTTTTATGTGTTATGTGAAAAGCATTTCCCAAATTTTAGTTGGTGCCTTTCAGATGAATGTCGTAAAAACCCACGGTTATGTTTCTAACGTTCTTAATATTTCTTTTCTCGTGTACATTTTAAGTCCCTGCACTTCAGTAGCAAAATAGATTTAGCAAATAAAAAGACAAGACACCTAGTTAAATTCATACTAAAAGTTCAAGTTGAAATTCAAATGTAACTGGCTGTCCAGTATTTTATCTGACAAACCTAGATGTTTTCCAGAAAGCATAGTGGATTGGGAAGTTCAAGATGCCTCATGGATCACCCACTTCAGTAACTGATCTTGGAACAGTAGAGGGCAGACTTGGGACAGGCCCCACTAAGCTCCCTAGAATCTACTGAGGGAATTTCTACTTCCAGAAACCCGTCAGTCAACTTGACTGAGTCAGTGTGTGCTCTTGGTCTTATCTGCGGTGTAAATTGTAGAAGCAGCTGGAATGTACGGCAGGTCCATGGAGGATGGAAACCTCAGGAAAGAGCGGTTAGGGAGAGGTTATCGAGGGGCAGAGGTAATGTTAGAGTCCTTCCCGCATCATTTCACCTGTCCCCAGCCCCACCTCGCTGTGCGTTCCCAGACGATAGCTTTCCTGTAGCTGTGCTTTTGACTAACAGGTGATTGTCTGTCCCTGCCTGTAATAGACACTCAGTATTTCTTTATTTTTTGGTTGAACTTGAGTATGGAATTAAAATAAGAAATATGAGTTCTAGCCTTACCTCCCCACTAATTGGCTGTCTAATCTTCAGCAAGTCCTTTAACCTCTGCAGACCTCTGCTTCCCCTTCGGTACAGCAAGGAGTTTGGATTAGACGATCTTGAATATGGCTTCTGTCTCTGTCCATCCCATAGGCGTGTGATTCTAGGAGGACTGAGCCACAGATGTGCTCGGGTTTTTGAGGACTCACGATGTTGTGGGCATCTGCGTTACCCAGGTTGCACTTGTCCGTCCACATGGTGTTTCATTCAGATTTGGGGTAACAAGTTTAATTCGTCTCATTTAAATCATGGGAAAGAAGGAGAAATGCAATCTGTGTGTGTCTGGTTTGTTTTTTTTTTTTTTTTTAATAATAAAAGCCATTCACTGCTGCTGTCATGAGCTGCTTGTTGGCTCAGAGCTGAGCTGGGCGGCCTGGGGCTGCCGAGCTCAGTCCCCCAGCCGTCATACCTGTCGTGGACACCAGCTGTGGCTGCAGATACCAGGGGGAGCGGGAGAGAGCTGAGCACCCAAACCAGGAGACGCAGCAACGGAAACAAATCTGGTTCCATCAGCTGCCTGCCCCGTCTCAGCCCACAATGTTCTTCTGGCAGAGAGACACGTGGATGGAAAATTCGCAGTGCAGAGGGGCGGCTTTTGACTTGAGCCACAAATAATGGGCACGGGCCCCTGCACAGCAAGCAGGTCCTGCATTCGTTTCGCAGTGTGTTGCTGCAGGGAGGCCATTAGTGAGGAGACGAAGGGTGATTGGTGTTGTGGAAAACAACGAAATGGAAACACATGTTCATGGAATTCACCCCTCCCTTACTAACACCCCGCCGTCCTCCCTTAATTGACTCCGCTCCTCATCCCCTCTTACACTTTTCTCAAAGGAAAACATGGGCAAAGAGATTCTTCCCTGTTCCCTTTTCCTCCTGTCGCTTCTGAGCCGTGGGCTCCCTCCCGTGGAGACCCCTTTCTGAACCGATGGAGCAGGTTCAGCCGAAACCTTGGGCGGCGCTTCCACTGGGTTACTGATTGACACGGACGGACAGCACCAAACCACATCCGTTGAGCACAGGGTCACGTCTTTTCCTCCCTTTTGTCACTGATCTGCTTTAATATCTAATCCATCTAGAGCGAGCGCAAGCCAGTGAGTGACCTCTGGTCAGCCTGCACGGCAAGTGCTCAGTCCATTTTGGACAGTGCAAATAATGACCAAAGTGATCATTTTGTTGACTGAAATGTTTTCTGGACCTGCCTTTTAAAATTCTGGTTCCTAAGCTGCTCAACCGTGAGAAAGCATTTGGTAGACCCTTGCAAAATAGTTGTTGCACTATTAGTTATTGGTACCTACTAATGACTCAAAATGACTCAGAACTTGGTAGCATGTTTAGATGAATTTTATTAACACACATATGTGTTTGAGAAGTTGTAGCACCTATGTAGATGAGATACTATTTGGCCTATGGGCAATGCCTAGAATACTTACAGATTCTTGCGTTGCTCATAGTAAAACAGTGGCCCCCAGGGATCCATGATCCAAAAGTTGGGATTCCAGAATTAGAATAGATTCTTCAGTAAAGACATGGGTAGTGCCTAGTTGCTTTAACAGAAAATAACTATAAATTTCCCAACGGAAAATAGAATCTTTCTTTAGCCAGAGAGATAAACTCGACAGGTCTGTTCTTCCAACTTGCATCTTCCATAGGCTGGACATGATCAAGCCGTAGACTTTGATTTAATGTATATTGAGATAATTTGTGAATTACATAATAATATCCTCTCTCCACCTTTTGTCTTCTGCAGTTCGTGGTTATAAAGGAACACCAAGATCTGGGGAATGGGCGTCAACCCGTGGCTGGCAAGGATGGCGGCCAGTTTTCCTCCCTGCAGCCTGGTGAGTGGTTGTCTCTACCTGAGAGCTGAGTGTTTGTTCAGTGAAAAGTCTCATCTAACCACACAAATGATAATGACATTGTATGAGCTGTGTGAGCATCTGGGCTGTACTGAAGTGCCGTGGAGCTTTAGAGAAATATGTTTGGATTAGATTTCCATCTTATAAGAGGTTACCATGTTTGCTCAAAACTCTGGTCACAGAGCTGTCTGCTAGATCATTTTGAGTGAGTATACACTCCTTATTTTGAATTAGGTTGGATTTTGAAGTCATGTTTGGGGTTTGGGATCTATACCTACTGTATGTATGTAGAGTTCCAGTTAAATTGTAAGTGGCTCCAAGAACAGTGTCCCCTGTTGTAATGGGAAGGGTTCCTGTGCATCGAAGTGGGTCTGGGGATTGTCCTAGGGATTTCAGAGTATTCGGGTCTTATCAGGGGCCAGACCGCAGCCGGATGCCCGGCTGTCTGTGAAGTCCAGCCAGACCACGTGGGGAGGGACCATAAAATCAACCCCGGTCCTTAGGAACTCAGTCTACTTTGGGTAGAAATGGACTTAGATACTCTTTGACATACTACTCTTGCCAAGAGTTGTATCATGATCAACCTTTTGGGCTTCGGTCTCAGTTATCATACTTCTATTTCCAAACCAGAGATTATTGTTGGACACGCGTTTGTGTCATAAGCCTTTGGAAAGATTTAGAGAAACTTTGAGCCGACAAAAACAGTTCCTCTGCTGATGAAAGGAGCTGATGAAAGGACCTAATGAAATACCAACTCCATTGACATTTTCTATATTTGCCCTTCGCCAATATGTTTATTGCCAGACCTTCCTTGTCAGATTTCTTTGTAGAGAGAACATGGGCTTCTTGTTTTGGAAAACTCACTCTAAGCTCCCTTCCCATGTATATATGTTGCTGTGTAAACCAAAATACTGAATTCAGTAGAACTTCATTGCCTAATTTGAAGAAGCTCTGGATATTAAGGTACACTTAAGAATTGAATATAAAAACTACAATAAGTAATGTAGAAAATTTTCTATATATATGGTTACTGTTGCCTGGATAATGAACACAATCAGCATTTTCAAAAGTTGCTTGGGTTTTTATTTTTATTGGTAGCACTGTTAGAAAGTAATGGAATACCTTCGAGTTACATACTACTTTTCCTTGAGCACTAAAAACACATATTTCTTTCTTACAAAGGTAATCCATTTTAGAGGTACATATAATTTTGCAAGTGAATCAATAGCACAATGATTTGACAAGAATGTGGTTAAACGCAGAAAAGAACTAAGAACTCATTATGGTTAGCCAAGTACTCAGGACTAGATTAGAATGTTTCTTTCTTTTCTTTTTTTTTTTTTTTGTGAACTCTACTGCAAACAGTTTGACCCATTCTCTCTGGGCCACTGGTATAACTGTCTCCCGGTGTGAGTGATCACATCCCGATCCTGTCCAGCTGTCTTGTAAATGCCTGGGGCGAGAGCGCGCACGGAGGTTGGGTGGGCAGGCAGTGTGCGGAATGATAGATCTAGTTTGGCTCTGCTCCTGGAAAATCCATTAAAACATGGTACCACTGTGCTGGTGGTAATGGCTGGTGGCCATCTTCACTGACCTTGGCCAACATCAGCTGGTGCAGGTTAAGTGCGGAGGACCAGGCCAGAGCAAGGCAATACAAGTGTGTTTAAAACCTGAGCTCCATTCCCAAGTCATTCATGGTCCAGATGAGGGGATAGAAGGTACGCAGGGAAGGCTGATATGCAATGTCAGGTAGCATAGTTCTTTGAATCATCTCGGCCAACCAAGACTATTTTTAATTTTTTTAATTTCTTTATATATATATATATACAGGGTCAGTGCAACCGACTTTGTGGAGGAAGGGGCCCCAGACGTCCGGAACGGGCACAGAGGAAGGCTGCTGGATTCCACCATCCAGCGATAAAGGCTCCTGTCCCCAGGTAATGGAGCGAAGCTTTCATCTGCCCTTGTACCGGGCACGGCCCCTTGCGGAGGGAGTTAAGAAGCCCCATTCTCTCCCGTCATCTAACCCATTATGACAGCGAAGGGCCCTGGATCCACCGTGCCAAACAGAGCTGACTCAGTGAAAACTGGAATTTGGAAGAAGGTCAAGAAGAACAAACCATGTCGATGGACAGTGTATTGCCTTTGAAAAAGTAGAGGAAAACTACAGATTTCGGTTCCATAATCTCTACACTAATTGCACACTCAGCATCCTGGAGACAGATACGTAGTTGCGCTTTTATTTCTTCCCTCAAGTAGTGCCATTGCAAATTTTCAAATAGTGATGGGGAGAATCACTAGGTAACCGGAATTGGGAAAATAGTGCTTTGTAAACTGTATTTTCGTCAGTAGTCAATTTCCCCTGCAGCCCCAGAAGAAATCTGGGGTTAAATCAGGCAATCACGCTGGTTTGGTCAGTGACAAAGTAATTTCTTTGATCTGGACAGAACATCTGACTCAATCTCATGATATGGTTGGAATATTACAATTACTGTTTAGATGCATTGTAGGGGGCGTTTAACTTATCATTGCTGTGGTCCACACTGGTAATTTTGCAGAATGACTTGTGATAAAGTAATGAAAAGTATAGTAACTTAAAACTTGATTTCTTCACAATTAGATGACTTATTTTTTCTATTTTAAAATCTCTGAATGAAAACATTTAATTTTAAAAACATTACCCAAGAGACGTCAATGTTTCTCAGTCATTTCTGTCCTTTCCCCCACAAAGATTTTTCCCAGTGGTAAATTCCCCTTTCGTGTATTTGCACAGAATTTTTTTGTTTTTTACAATACAAGATTGTAAGCAAAATGCCTGATTTATTTTCATATGGATAGCAATCGATTTCTTCTATTTAAATAAAAATCACCATAAAACAGAAACATTTTATTGTACACCTTACTAAATAATTAATTATGGTCTAAGGGGGGGGTATTAGAATTGAGCCAGGGTGATTTGCCAAGCTTGCTATTATAACTCTTTTAAAAAAATTTTTTGAAGTTTATCACTCTAACTTTATAAATTAAAATTTCACAGGGTTCTAATTAAATCTTTTTCTTGCATCCAAGGCATAACACAAGTTGATACAGTAACTTTGAATATTGGACTTTGGCGATACCAGAAGTCAGTATAGAAAGGAGTTGAAGTACATTTTCAAGTGGATGCTTTATAGAAATTTTGGTAAAGATGTGGTGATAGGGAGGATGACTTGAGGTTTTTGGGTATTAGTTAATTATTCAGTATGACACCTTTCCCCAGCTAATTTAGATGTTTCTGTATTCAGTTTTGCTTTAATTGGCAATTGATAACCTAGAGGATCAAAGAGCTGTCTTTTATTTCTGATCAGTAACTGACCTCAGAAAAATAATAGCCATGATTTCCCCAAGTTTTTCTTTCCCTAAGTATGAATATTTTTTTCTTCCCTCAAAAGTGAGCATTTTTGAAGCTTTAAGGGTTTAGATTACATTTTTGTGTTTTAACACCTCTTTCTCTTAGGGTTTCAACAATAACCAAAGCGACATGAGACCACAATAACCCACAACATACCATTACCTGAGAAGCAGAAAATCCCTATTTTCTTTGAGCTTTTCAGTGACTCTGATACCTTAGAAACTGGGACTATACTAAGTCCTCGACCAGGCTGTCCTGCCAGCTCCCTGGTGAGATTCGAGACCAAATAATTCATTCGTATGAAGTTTATAAACAGGGAAAATTAAACAGTATGGATACAGGCTTAAGTGGTAAAATTCTAAAGAAAAGTAAGAAAATCATTGCAAAAACATTCAGAAGGATAGTTGTCTTTGGTGCTAAGAAAGGATGCTCTGTGAACTGCTCATATACATTTTTTCACTTTTTCGCATGATTTATTTCATGGTTCAAAAAAAGAGCAAAAAGAACACAAAATAAATTATCCCCAAATTCTATAGAGCCTTCCTGGATTCCGAAGCTGAATGATTCGCATTCCTTGCGTTCATGCCGGCCGCGTTTGCTGAACTCTGCGTCCCTGAAGCCGTGGAGAGCGTACTGGGCCAGTGGGTTTCGGAGCTGGGAGTTTTCCCTCGCGGTTAGAAGAACCTGCAGAGAGGTGGAAAACGATGTTTACCGCACACCTTGAACACTTTTGGCAAATAGAGGGATTAAAAAAAAAGATAATGAAAGATGAGAGGAAAGAAGGGCCGTGTATTGTCCAAGAGACATCGACAATGTAACATTGTAGCAGTTCAGAATGGAAACCTCCGCCCTCCACCCCACCCACACACCAAACAGGATGCTTCCCCACTGCTAGGGGATGCTGGAGATGATGGTGACGTTTTACTTGTACTCCCGGACCTAGATGCCAGCTCCGTGGTGGGGCTGCTACAGTGCTTTCCCCTCCCAACTCCAATGGGCTCCAATATTTTTTAAGTTTCAAGTGCAGAGGTAGTTTCTAAGGCTTGAAGTACTGGGGCAGGGGTGTGTGCAACAGAGAGGGGGTGACAGGGATGGATGAGACAGGATAATGAGAAAGTTCTCTGGCATGAGTCTGGGGAAGGTAAAAAAGTGCTTCTAGCTCAGGGAGCTTAGGAAGAAATCCTGTAGCAATTGGTTTCAGCCCTGGATCGTCAGAGCTGGTCCTGTTGTTCATTCGCTTTTCTTAAACCAGTCCTGGAAAAAAATCATACGATCCATTTGGGGTTTGGAAGAGGTCTTTTCCATAATTCAGAGAACTGGCACCTTACTTTAATCAGAAACTTGGCTTCTTTTCCACCTCTTCATCTTGTCAATTAAGAGGCATGGCCACAATAGATAGGTTCATTCTGGATGCAAAGAAAATCAAAGTACTCTCGGAGATTTGTTGGGCCAAGGAGGCACTCACGTGGGACTACTTTAGAGATCAATTTTCAAAGCCCATGAAAAATAAATGGCAGCGTCCTTGTGTGAGCCCGTTAGCATCCGTACCGCTGCATTATACATGACCCTCGCCACGCTGGTGGGGCATCTCTTCATCACGCTGCTCCAACAAGGATTTTCCAGTTTGCCAAACGGTAGATGTTGAGACCAAATACATAGTTTCCTCACTCTGGTTTTCTTGGCAAGAATCTCGTTTGAAAAAAAAAAAAAAACTATCTGTAATTTATCTTTGGTATAGCCACGGAGGTTTGGCCTCTTCCCTTAGGGGGCAGTTTCAAAGGCTTATAGACTTTTCCGTAGTCTTAATATTTGCTTGATAATTTTCATTTAGTATCGCTGTCATTTTTTTAAAAATTTGAAATAAACATTATCACTAGTCTGTCTAAAAGTAGATAACATCTAGGTAGTTAATAAATATGACTCTCACGTAGATTTTATAAGAAAAAAAAACCCCACCAAAAATCTGATTCCTATGCTCTGTTAGCTTACATACATGTACACAGATAAAAAGCAAACAGCATTGTGTGATATTTTTTCTAGCTGCAATTAATTTATTCACTTGAATGCTATGGTGTGTATGGTATGGTAGGGAAGCGTGCATTTGAATCACAGTTCCAATAAGCAGCATCATTATGTTTGCCTAATTAGAATGATCTCCGCATTTTATAGGCATTGAATTTTTGGATACTATAGCAAGTAGAAAACCCATGTGCCATTTTCCTTTTCTTCCACAGGTTTAATCTATGCTAATAGCTATTCAAACTCTTCCAGACTGCTGAATATTTGTCTTTAGTGCATTTTCTTCCATACTGGCCAAGATAGTAATTGCCACTTGCTAAAAAAACTTTTTTTTTCATTTTGTTTATTCTGTCTGTGCTCCAAATCTCCTATTCTAATTTGTTTTATATTGCTTGCTCTGCTGTTCCTAGATTTCTCAATTTCTTCTGATTAAGGACTATTGTTTAAATCTTGTGAATGGCAATCATTAATTCATCAGAAAAAATAGTTTAGTCCAAATCAATATTGATTTGGGTTGTCATTAGATCTAAATATTTGAATAACGGATAATTCTATGCTGTAATTGAACCTTTCCTGCTGAACTTTAATAGAATCTTAGGCAACAGTTTGAGTGGCAGCACTTAGGAAACTTATAAAATTCCATAATTGCCAGCTTTGATATTTTTTCCCACTATGCCCTCAAATCAGAGACCTATTTGTTCAGTGACCAAGACTTCCCGAAGCCAAATCTCTCTCTTTTCCTAAAGAATGGCTTTCCTGAAGGGAAAATAAAGCTCATTTACACGTTAATGAGTTATTCCTTTGTTTCAGAAAAGTTTGAAATTGAGACAAATTGGAGGAGACGTATAATTTTTGACATGACGTGAGGAGTAGAGAGATGGATATGAGCCTAAACCGTAAATTTTTCACTCAGCTTTATAGGCTTAAACAGAGCCAGAATAACGTTCTTCTGCAACTCCAGCTGTCCAGAACTGCCAGTTTCCACTACGGCAGCGTTTGCGGACCACGAACGTGTACCACTGCGGGGAGGTGAAGTGTTTTTAAATAGTACCCCTGTGAACGGATTTTCATTTTAACGGTTAGGTGTTTACTTTTTAGTCCAACATTTTATGGTGAACATTTCCAAACTACAGCCAAGTGGAAAGAATTTTACAATGAGCGCCCATCAAACCGGTTAGATTCTACCGTAGCATTTTACTACACTTGTTCTATCATCTGTCTAACCTCCTATCTGTCCCTCGATCCAATCATCAATCCAAATTATTTTTACTGCATTTCATTATAAGCTGCAGATGACAGTACATGTCCTCCAAAATACTTCAGCATGCAGATCATTAAGAGGAGGGCAGGGAAGGGAGAGAGGGGAAGGGGGAGCGGGGAGAGAGAGAGAGAAAGCTAGCTATCTACTGACATCACTTCCCAGTTGGCTCCAGCTGCGTTGATCTGGCCTTACCAGCTGCGGCCTCACACATCACCTTTTTCACCTGAGCCTACTTGGAGTTTGGTTTCTGCCATTTATAACTGAGAATGCTGACGAATACAACTTTTACACTCAAGGACACATTTTTGCAAGAGAATCGCCTCGAGTTGAGCGAGGGGGGACTTTGCTATAAACGTTTTTCTCTG